CGCTGGGACCCCCGGCGGCGCCTCCGGCGCCGTCCCTGGCGCGCAGGGGGATCCAGCGCAGACCCAAGAGATCTGCGCGGAGCGCCGCAAGTATACGTTTGTGTCGTTTTTTCTTCTTCTACGTACTGTTTCTCGACGGCGAGCGAGGGGGCGAAGTGAGAAGGAGAAGGTCTTCTCAGAAGGCTCTGAAGTCCCCCGGCCTTCTGAGAAGTGTCCTAAGCCTCCCCCGACGACAAACAAAAAGACTTCTCAGACGGCGCGAGGGCTCCTGAGAAGGTCCGCCGCCTTCTGCGAAGGCCTGCTCCTTTTCATGTCCCCCTCGGCGCGCCCCGAAATTTGACTTCGGGGCATAACTCGGGTCTCCGGCGGCCGTTCGGGACGACCTCAGCACCCCTGGAACGCCCTCGGCGAGGCGCAGCCGCCGGAACGCACCCCGAGGCTGGAGAGCCGCTGAGGACCTGCGAGAATTACCCTCGCTCGCCGCCGAGACCCCTCCTCAAGGCAAACCGGCGATGGCCGCCCGGCTGCTCGCGGTGGCGTCCGTGCTCGCCCTGGGCGCCGCGACCCGCATCCGGAGGGACGACCCGGCCCAGGCGCCGCCTCGCGGCGCAGCGCCTCGCGCGCGGCGCGCGCTTTGGTGGGCAAATTTTCCACCACCACCACCGTCAGTAGGAGGGGGAGGGGTCCTCCTCCTCCTCCTCCTCCTCCTCCTCCTCCTCCTCCTCCTCCTCCCTCCTCCTTTCCCCCTCCAACTTATGGTGATGGTGGTGGAGAACAGGCCCATCGCGCTTGCCGCGCCTGCGCGAGGGCTCTCGGAGGCCCCTCTGTGGGGTTCGGAAGCCCCACCCATCGGTGGCCCTCGGTGGCCCTCTCCAGACCCGAGACCCCCTCGGGTAAGGAAAATGTCACGACGGGAGGTCCTTCCATACTTCTGGCCTTTGGAGGCCCTCGCCGGGCCTCGGGACCGTCAAGGAACGACTCGGGATGAGAAGCCAGTTCCCGGGGCATGGGTCGAGGCCTCTCGGGGTCGACGCTTTGACAGAAAGCATGGCGTCGGGGGTCTGGGGTCGGGGGGGGGGGCCCTCGGACGGGCCTGCGGGATGCCCCGGGAGGCCCTGGTCGGAGGGGGCCCCCGGAGAGGCCGCGGGGATGCCCGGGAAAGCCCGGCCGTGGGGGGGGTCGCTGCTGGCGCGCACGCTCTGCTTGCCAGAGCAGTCAAGGGAGGAAAAGCCACCCGGACCGGACGATCGGCGTTTACAAAACTTGGGCCGGACGAAAGGGGGGGATTGGGAAAGGGGGGGTAACGAAATTTGCTGCATGCAGCTGGTTTCGGCCCCACCGAGGAGCCCCTTCCTCGATGCATCGCCGCCTCCAGCGCCGGGAGGCGCCGGGAAAATCAGCTACGTGAGCTGAATCTCAAACCCCCCCTTTACTATCCCCCCCTTTCGCCCGACCCGATAAACGGCCTTGGGCATTCACTGAACAGCCCTGCCATGTTCGATTCCTTCTTTGGGCCCTTTTGCTAGGAGACTTCGCGTGTCGGGGTGGTTCTTATTATGGGGGTGCATTCCTTGGCCTCTAAGCAGGTGGGCCAAAGGGGGGGGGGGGGCGGGGAAGTTCTTCGAGGTGTGACAAAGTGTTTCCTCACCAAAGACCTAGTAGATGCCCCTCGAGACGTTGTGCGATTGTACACGCTCGCGCTCTCGGTCGTCGGGGCCTCCAACACGGCCCAACACGCCCCAAAACTCACCCCAACATGGGCTACAAGGAGGAGGAGAAGGAGGAGGAGGAGGAGGAGGAGGATGAAGAGGAGGAGGAAGAGGAGGAGGAGGAGGAGGAGGAGGGAGAGGGGGAGAGGGAAGAGAGAGGAGGAAGGAGGAGGAACAGGCGGGTGATGAGGAGGAGGAAGAGGAGGAGGAGGAGGAGGAGGAGGAGGAGGAGAAGGCAGTACGAGGAGGAGGAGGAGGAGGAGGAGGAGGAGGAGGAGGAGGAGGAGGGCGCGCAGGAAGGCTAGGGACATCTTTTCGGATTTCGTTCGAGAGCTTCTTGGGGTCCTCTTGGGGCGTCTTGGGGGTCTCTTGGCAGTCCCTGGGTCCTCTTGAGGCGTCTGGGGTGCCTCTGGGGGCCTCTTGGTGCCTCTTGGGGGTTTCTTGGGAGCTCTTTGTGGGCATCTTGGGGCATCGTTGGGGCCTCTTGGGGCCTCCTGGGCACCTCTTGGGGCCGCCCTGGGGCACCCTTGGGATCCTCAGGGGTCATCTTGGGGTCATCTTGGAAGAGATCGATCAAAGGAGTGGGGGCCTTTAATTAGGGTTCCCCGTCTAGGAGGCCAAAATGTGGCCAACACCTTTTTGTAAAATCATTGTTGTTGGCCTCTTGGGGCGTCGAAGGTGCATCTGCTGGGCCTCCTGGGGCCTCTTTGGCGTCTCTTGGGAGCCTCTTGGGGGCAGCTTGGGGGTATCTTGGGGCCGCCTGAGCATCGCTTGGGGCCCCCTCAGGGGTCATCTTGGCGCTATCTTGGAGGAGATTGATCAAAGGAGGGGGGCGTCTTAATTTGGCCCTTCCCCCCCAGGAGGCCAAAATGTTGCCAAAACCTCAGTAAACTCAATAATTGATGGTATTCTCGCCGTGGCTTCTTGGGGCTTCTTGAGTGCCTCTGAGTGGCCTCAGAGTCTCTTAGGGGTCTCTTGGGAGCCTCTTGGGGTATCTTGAGGGCCTCTTGGGGCCTCTTGGGGCCTCCTGGGCACGTCTTCTGGCCCTCTTCGGGCACCCTTGGGAGCCCCGGGGGCCATCTTGGTGCCATCTTGGAGGAGATCGATCAAAGGACGGGCATTGCTCAATTACGCCCCACGCTCCCACGAGGCTAAAAGGTGGCCAACACCTCAGTAACATCAATTAGTTTGGCTTCCTCGCCGGGGCCGTTTTGGATGCTCTAACCCCTCGCTCCCCCTTCACCTCCAGGTCCAGGGGAAGGGGGTATGTAGGGAGAGGAGCAACCCCATCCCCGAAGGGGAAGACGGGAGGTTGGAAGCGGAAACTCTCTAAGCCACTCACGCCGTGAAGGGCTGGTGGGATTTACCTCACCGCGGCCTGACGTCACCGCGTTGTTGGCTTCAATCGCTACGCCGCAGCGCGGTGTCACCACAGTTGCTACACCGCAGCGTGGTGCCCCCGCGCCGTGTGCTTCCTATGTCACACCGCAGCGTGGTGCCACCACGCCGCTTGCATCATTGTCTACACCGCAGCGGGGTGTCACCGCGCCGTCCGCATGGCGCCGATTGCGCCATTGTCTACACCGCAAGCGTGGTGCCACCACCGCTGCTACATCGCAGCGTGATGTGGACGCACATGCTACACCGCAGCAGGTGCAGCACATGTGGTGACGTCTCGTTGCGGTGCAGCAGTTCCGATGGGATCCCCCAGAAGTGTAGCAAATGCAGGGACACCACGCCACGGTGTAGCGATAACGTTGACACCAGGTTGCGGTAGATTGATTGTGGTGGCATCGCGCTGCGGTGTTGAAATGATGGTGTCTTCGTGCCGCAGTGGAGCAAATGTATTGGCATCGCGCCGTGGTGTAGCGAAGGTGGTGACATTACGCTGCGGTGCAGCAAATGCGGTGGCGCAACGCTGCAGTGTATGAATGTTGTGATGCCACGCTGCGGTGTCAACACGCGATTGTGTATCGACTGCGGTGACATCACGTTGCGGTGTAGCGAATGTGGTTGCATCTCGAATCGGTGTAGCAAATGTGATGACGTCACAGTGCAGTGTACATGTGGTGTAATCACTCTGCTGTGTATCAAATGTGATGACATCACGCTGCGGCGTAGCGAATGTGGTGACATCGCACTGCGGTGTAGCAATTGGCTGGCGACGCCACCTTGCGGTGTGGCAGTTGTGGTGACATCACGTTGCTGTGTAGCACATGTACGTCGGATTGTGGCGTAGCAGATGTGGAGACATCGCCCTGCGATGTAGCAAATGTAGTGACATCACGCTTAGGTATAGCACATGTGGTGAGGTTGCGCCGCGGTGCAGCAGATGTATTGGCATTATCCCCCTCGGGTTTAGCAAGTGTGGTGACATCGCGGTGCGGTGTAGCAAGTGTGGTGACATCGCGCTGCGATGCATCAATTGTGGGGAGTTCGCGTTGCTGTGTAGCAGAAGTGGTGTCATTACGCTGCGGTGTTTGAAATGCGGTGGCATCACGCTGCAGTGTAGCATATATGGTGAAACCACGCTGAGGTGCAGCAACTGTGGTGGCGTCGCACTGCGGTGTGGCAACTGCGGTGATGACGTCTCTGCGCGGTGCAGTAGCAAATGCGGTGTCGTCACGCTGCGGTGAAGCAGATGAGGTGACATCACGCTTCGGTGTAGCAAATGTAGTGGCATCGGTGACCTCACACTGCGGTGTAGGACATGTGGTGACATCATGATGCGATGGAGCAAATGTGGTGACATCGCGTTGCGGTGAAACAGATCCAGAGTCATCACGTTGCTGTTAGGCGAACGTTGCGGGCTGTGGCGTAGCAATTGCGGTGACATCACGCTGCGGTGTCGCAGCGTGGTGACATTACCCTACGGTAGCGAATGTAATGACTTCAGCTTGCGCAGTAGCAATGTGGTGACGCCACGCTGTGCTGTAGCTGATGTAACCAACGGCGCGGTGACATCTCGCGGTGATCATGCGGCGAAGACGTCACTCTGCGGTGTCCCGCATTTCAGCGCAATCGTCCCCCCGCCTAAGATCTACTTTCCCACAGTCCTAGGACACGTCGCGTGTGTCTTCTCCTGTCGGACAGGGGATGGGGGGTCCTGGCAGGGCCCAGCCGGGGGTAACCGCACGGCCTCGTTGGGGCCCGGGCAGTCCGTCGCCAAGAGGGTCATTTGTTGACGCCGCTCTGGGCTGCGCAAAAAGGCTGCGCAGAAGCAATTGGTTGAACCTTGCCCTTCAGGACCTTTCTTTCATGCCAAAGTCTTTGAACAGACCGAATAAGAAGCCCGTGGTGCTCTTGCTCCCGCTGCAGTTGCTGTTGCTGCATCGCTTGCCGTAGCCCTCTTCCTGCCTGAGGCGTTCCGTGGACCCCCCCTTCACACAGCTCTTTTGCCATCTCCGCGATGCCCCGCTCCGTGGCCGCGCTCTTGCTCCTGGCGCTCCCGCGCGCCCTGGGGCTCCAGCTCCAGGAGGGCGCGGATCCGGATCCAGAGCAGGCGCGGGAGGACGAGCTGAAGTACTCGACGGTCACCGGGCCAGCCTCGGGCGACCCGAAGATTCTGGGACTGTACGGCAAGCGGTTCCAGATCCACCGCCCAGGAGATCACGCGCTGCTGGTTGTGCCCAACGCCAAGAAGCGCCACGGCAGCCTGCTGGAGGTGTCGGCTCTGGTTAAGGAGCTGGAGATCGGGGACCCGTGCCTGCTGTTCATCAAGAAGATCACCCTGACCGGCAGCTGGCTCGGCGGCACGACCGTGCAGGTGCGCGCGCAGGGCACCAGCTCCGACTTCGCGCTGAAGGTGGACCCGAAGAAGCACGACAGCCCCTGGAAGCCCTTCAAGAACATGACCGGGTGGGAGCAGTTCATCCACAAGGACGAGGGTTCCGGCATGGTCACCACGGTTAAGGGCGTGATCGGCAGGCGCGAGGGCCACAGCGAGGACATCAAGGGGCCCTTCGAGCACCGCTTCCTGTTCCGCGTGGGCACAGAGGACCAGAAGGCCAAGAAGCTCGAGATCGACGTTTCGATGCCGAAGCCCGGGCGTCAGTACTTGACCGTCAAGGTGGCGCACGTGAAGGGTCTCGGTGAGGAGAGGAGCAAGAGCCTGCAGGGCCTCCTGGGGCTCGACAGCAAGGCAGTGACCAAGTCCTACGAGACCCACCAGAAGAGCCTGGAAGTCCGCGAGGAGTGCAAGGACTCGGCCACCGGGACCAAGGCGTCCGAGCTGCTGGCACTGTCTGGCGGCCTTTCTCGCGCCATCGCCCACTGGGAGTGAGCGCGGCCGCGTCCAGCTGCAACACGGCCTTTGATCAGGATGTGCATTTTGAGTATTGGAACCTTCTGCTATGAAGGCAGCGCGTGAACCTCAAGCAGTTGTTCCATGTGTGTGCGCACTATACGGTGAGCAAGCTTGTTCAGCAACTTAGAAAGCGCCTTCCACAGACAGCGGCGTGCCCTGTGCAACTTGTGGGGCAACTTAAGGCGTGCTATTTGAAAAAGGGGTTGTAAGTTCAGGGTGGCAGCTATGGGGAATCATCTTCGGGATTCCCTGTATGCGCGAGATTGTGGGTGGGACGCTTAGTATTCAGTCGGGCTGTCCCTCTACAGGGGGACTATTCAAAATAGTCAAACAAATAGTCTGGGGACGTCGTTTTTATATTTGCGATGTTTGAGCATTTGTTGGGTATTTTTCATTTGTCGTCCACGATCCGTCTGTAGGACGACAGGCCCGACTTAAGCTTCTGTAGCAGATCCCTGCGGGGGTGGACTCCCGTGGCTGGGCCCGCACGGGTGGGCCCCCCGTGATGGGGCCCGTGCGCTCTCTGCCCTCTGAAGCCTGGAGTTTGGTCGGGCCTGCCCCTCCACAGGAGGAAACAGAAACATTGAACCAACAATTATCCTGGGGACGATGTTTGGATCATGTGCTTGACTATCTGGGGGCATTGTTGGGGTATCTTCCATTTTTCGCCTCAGATCCGCCTGTAGGGGGACATGTCCGACCTGAGCCTAGATGCCCTCCGCCGTCGACTCACCAGTTCTACCGTGTACTATCTGCCGTCCTGGTCTCCACCTTCTGACCTCCATTTTCCCCCATATCACCCTGCACTCGCTACAATGTGCGCTTTTGATATGGTTTTCGAGTTTCTCCCCTCTAGCCAAATCTCTGCTGCAGTCCCTCGGCCCTCCTTGCTCTCCTCCTCTTCCTCCTCCTCCTCCTCCTCCTCCTCCTCTTCCTACTCCTGAGCTCACCACCCTCTGTGGATGTAGCCCGGTGGGGGGGAACCTACGCGTGCGAGACTCTGGGTGCGACCGCCAGAGCAGGCCTCATGGGCGGGACCACCCTAGGGGCCTGGCATCGCTCGGACGTGTGCATTTTTTCTCGGCGAGAACCATCGAGGACCATCCTGTACCATCGAGCAAAAACACACGCACGAAACCGACAAATGCACGGGAAATGGACGTCCGAGCGATGGCAAGGAGGCGGGATCCCATGTCAGGGATCCCATGGGAGGGCGCCGCCGCAAATCTGGGTAAACCGAGGGCATTTCTTGAGCAGACCTTGTCAGAAGCCTGTGGAGCGAGCAGAGCCTGGGGAATCGAAGAACAGATCGGACCCCTTGCTCCCTGTCCTAGTCCCGCTGGCTGAAGCTGCTGATGCTGCTTGTGGTCCCCATCGCCCTCCGTAGCCCTCTTCCTGCCCGAGGCGTTCCGTGGACCCCTCTTCACACAGCTCTTTTGCCATTCCCGCGATGCCCCGCTCCGTGGCCGCGCTCTTGCTCCTGGCGCTCCCGCGCGCCCTGGGGCTCCAGCTCCAGGAGGGCGCGGATCCGGATCCAGAGCAGGCGCGGGAGGACGAGCTGAAGTACTCGACGGTCACCGGGCCAGCCTCGGGCGACCCGAAGATTCTGGGACTGTACGGCAAGCGGTTCCAGATCCACCGCCCAGGAGATCACGCGCTGCTGGTTGTGCCCAACGCCAAGAAGCGCCACGGCAGCCTGCTGGAGGTGTCGGCTCTGGTTAAGGAGCTGGAGATCGGAGACCCGTGCCTGCTGTTCATCAAGAAGATCACCCTGACCGGCAGCTGGCTCGGCGGCACGACCGTGCAGGTGCGCGCGCAGGGCACCAGCTCCGACTTCGCGCTGAAGGTGGACCCGAAGAAGCACGACAGCCCCTGGAAGCCCTTCAAGAACATGACCGGGTGGGAGCAGTTCATCCACAAGGACGAGGGCTCCGGCATGGTCACCACTGTCAAGGGCGTGATCGGCAGGCGCGAGGGCCACAGCGAGGACATCAAGGGGCCCTTCGAGCACCGCTTCCTGTTCCGCGTGGGCACAGAGGACCAGAAGGCCAAGAAGCTCGAGATCGACGTTTCGATGCCGAAGCCCGGGCGTCAGTACTTGACCGTCAAGGTGGCGCACGTGAAGGGTCTCGGTGAGGAGAGGAGCAAGAGCCTGCAGGGCCTCCTGGGGCTCGACAGCAAGGCTGTGACCAAGTCCTACGAGACCCACCAGAAGAGCCTGGAAGTCCGCGAGGAGTGCAAGGACTCGGCCACCGGGACCAAGGCGTCCGAGCTGCTGGCACTGTCTGGCGGCCTCTCTCGCGCCATCGCCCACTGGGAGTGAGCGCGGCCGCGTCCAGCCGTAGGATGGCCCTTTGATCAGGATATCACGTTTTGAGTATTGGAACCTTCAGCTATGATGGCAGCGTGTGAACCCTTAAGCAGTCGCGTCGTGCCGCTAAATTTTCTGCACAGCTTCGGGTGCAATCTACAAGATGCAACTTGTTCTGCAACTTACGAAACACATTGCACGGGGCGCGACTTACGGTTAGCTCTTTCTGGGGTGCAACCTGCGGGGTGCAACTTAAGAGGTTGCAAGCTCCAAGTTGCAACCATGTGGAGTAAGATACGGGACGCTGTGCGACCCCATGGGCGGGAGCACGGTGGAACGGCACTTTACATCTTACCCTGCGGGTGGAACCAGATGAGTGGGACCCCATGAGCGGAACTCGTGTGCGCTCTGTTGTCTATGGCCTGAGGGCCCTTCGCTCCAGACTCGCCAATCTCTACCTCATGCTCTCTGCCGTCCTACTCCCTACCCTCTGACCTCTACTTTCTGCTATTTCTCCTCTACTCTCTACACTCTGCTCTGTGAGACTTACTCTATAATTTCTGCTCTCTACTCGAATCTGTGCTGCCTACACCGCCCTGGGGGCGGGACTCCATGGGAGGGTGCCGCCGCAAGTCTGGGTAAACTGAAGGCAACTCTTGAGCAGACCCAGTGGGAAGCCGGTGGTGTGGGCAGAGCTTGAGGAAGCCAAGAACAGCGCAGAGCCATTGCGCCCCCACGTCTTACTCCAGCTGACTGCAGCTGCTGATGCTGCTGGTGGTCCCCATCCTCCTCCGTAGCCCTTTTCTGCTCGAGGCGCTCCGTGGACCCCCTTCACGCACTCCATCTGCCATCCCAGCGATGCCCCGCTCCGCGGCCGTGCTCCTCCTGCTCCTGGCGCTCCCGCGCGCCCTGGGGCTCCAGCTCCAGGAGGGCGCGGATCCGGATCCAGAGCAGGCGCGGGAGGACGAGCTGAAGTACTCGACGGTCACCGGGCCGGCCTCGGGCGACCCGAAGATTCTGGGACTGTACGGCAAGCGTTTCCAGATCCACCGCCCAGGAGATCACGCGCTGCTGGTTGTGCCCAACGCCAAGAAGCGCCACGGCAGCCTGCTGGAGGTGTCGGCTCTGGTTAAGGAGCTGGAGATCGGGGACCCGTGCCTGCTGTTCATCAAGAAGATCACCCTGACCGGCAGCTGGCTCGGCGGCACGACCGTGCAGGTGCGCGCGCAGGGCACCAGCTCCGACTTCGCGCTGAAGGTGGACCCGAAGAAGCACGACAGCCCCTGGAAGCCCTTCAAGAACATGACCGGGTGGGAGCAGTTCATCCACAAGGACGAGGGCTCCGGCATGGTCACCACTGTCAAGGGCGTGATCGGCAGGCGCGAGGGCCACAGCGAGGACATCAAGGGGCCCTTCGAGCACCGCTTCCTGTTCCGCGTGGGCACAGAGGACCAGAAGGCCAAGAAGCTCGAGATCGACGTTTCGATGCCGAAGCCCGGGCGTCAGTACTTGACCGTCAAGGTGGCGCACGTGAAGGGTCTCGGTGAGGAGAGGAGCAAGAGCCTGCAGGGCCTCCTGGGGCTCGACAGCAAGGCTGTGACCAAGTCCTACGAGACCCACCAGAAGAGCCTGGAAGTCCGCGAGGAGTGCAAGGACTCGGCCACCGGGACCAAGGCGTCCGAGCTGCTGGCACTGTCTGGCGGCCTCTCTCGCGCCATCGCCCACTGGGAGTGAGCGCGGCCGCTTCCAGCCGTAGGATGGCCTTTGATTTTGAGGTCGAAGTCCGAGTAGCGGAATGACCAGCTGAGATGAGATCATCGTTTGGAGCCAAAACTATGTGCAACGTCTGGGGTGCAAGGCACATGATGCATGTTTGCCTGGTAAGGAGCGCAATCCACGGGGAGCAGCCTGCGGTGTGCTTTTTTGTTTTTTCCTCTGGGGTGCCACTTGTGGGGTGCACTGTACGAGGTGCAAGCTACGGAGTGTCTATGGGGGGGCCTATCTGGGGACCTCATGGGCGCGACCCCAAGTACATAGTCGGACAGAGGTGCAAGGTCTAGGTCGGTTCCGGGAAGGTACCCTAGTGCTCTTCGTGCTTGTTGGATGTTATTGTTCTCATCCTGGGGAGGGTACCATTAGGTGTTCTGTCTATCTTGGCCGACGGAGGGTCTCATGCCCTTGAGGGATGATCTCCTGGCGTAGGTCTGACTGTAGGCGGGACCCGTGTGCGCTCGACCCTCCATTATCTAGACGTTCTCATCTCGGCTCGCTAGTTTCTACCCTCTACTCTCTGTCTTTCTACTGTCTAGTCCCTCATTCCCCTTCTCCCTACACTCTACACTATTCGCTCTCTGCTTTCTGCTCTCTGCTCAACTCGCTGCTGTGTGCTCCCTTCCCTCCATGCTGTACTCTGAGCTCTCCGTCCTCTGTGGATGGGGAGCTGCTCGCCCCGTCTGAACTCGCGCCCCCGCAGCGGTGGGAGGGCGAGGCCACCCACTCGAACCTCCACGACGAACTCCGAGGAGTGCGACGGCCCAGCCCCGCTCTCCCCGGCGCTCACTGCCCCACGCCGCCTCGGCAGCTGTGCCCCACTCGGGTATAGCCAGGACCCCGGGTAAGGGGACCCGGTTAGTGGTAGGGCCCCGGAGCCCCAAAAAATGGCCAGAAGCACTAAACCAGGTCTGCCGCAGCTGGTGTTTTTTCGGGTGACGGCAGTTCCGGTTAGTGGAACGGGGCGGGGGGGCGTCCCCCAGTACACATCACTAAACCAGGTTCCACTAATCCCAGTTCTGCCAACGCCCGACCCACGCCGACGCGGCAGCTGTGCCCTGCGCCCGGCAGCCCTAGTCCTTTCCAGCACCCGCAAGTGCCGCAGCCCCGCGCCAGCCCTGCAGTCAATCACGCCAGCGGCCTCCGCGGGCGCGCGGCCAAGCGCCCCACAGGGAACCTCCGAGGCGGCCGCCCCGACGGCCGCAGGCGCCGCCAGCGCGGGCGACTCCACCTCCTCCTCCTCATCATCATCAGCATCATCAGCATCATCAGCATTATCATCATCATCATCATCATCATCATCATCATCATCATCATCATCATCATCATCGTCATCGTCATCGTCATCGTCATCGTCATCGTCATCGTCATCGTCATCGTCATCGTCATCTCATCATCATCATCATCATCATCATCATATCATCATCAGCAGCAGCAGCAGCAGCATCATCATCCTCTCTCCTCCTCCTCCTCCTCCCTCCTCCTCCTCCTCCTCCCTCCTCCCTCCTCCTCCTCCTCCTCCTCCTCCTCCTCCTCCTCCTCCTCCCCCTCCCCCTCCTCCTCCTCCTCCTCCTCCTCCTCCTCCTCCTCCTCCTCCTCCTCCTCCTCCTCCTCCTTCTCTCCGCCGGTTCTGCCGCCGCCGCGCGGCCGTCGCGGGAGGCGAGGCCGCGGCGGGCGCACCGGCCCACTTCGTCGGTGAATCGAAGAAGACAAGACTTAAGTCGGGCCTGTCCCCCTACAGGGAGATTTTCGACGAAAAATATAAAATACTCCAGCAATAGTCCGAACATAATCTAAAAATAGTATGGGGACTACTTTTTGATTTTGTGGCCATTTTGGAATATGTTTGGGGTATTTTTACATTTTTCGCCGAACATCCCCCTGCAGGGGGACACGCCCGACATAATCAGAAACATGAACTTTTAGCGCTCTTTTAGCGCTCCGCGCGGGTTTTATGGATCCGCGCGGCGCGCCAAGAGTTTCAAGTTTCTGCCTGTGGCGAGAGTCGCTCGCCGCGCCGTCCGTCGCCGCCCCCCGCCGCGGCAGCGGCCGCGGATTCCCCCGCCGCGCGGCCTGCGGCGCCGCGCCGACGCGCCGCCCGCACCTCAAGAGGCGCCCGGCAGCGCCGCGGATCCCTCGCGAAGGTGCGCCGCGCGCCACGGGCGGCTCGGCTGGTGGCGCGGGCGCCTCGGCCAGGCCCAAGGGCCTTGGGGGGCTCGCCGAGGCCGCCGCGCGCTCCGCCGCCGCCGCCGCTCTGCGCGGCGCCTGCGCCAGCGCGGCGCCGCGAAGCGCGGCATCCACGGGTGAGGCAGCAGCGTCGATCGGCGCCCGAGCCCCTGTGGCCCTTCGCACACCGGCCATCGGGAGACGGCCGAGGCCACGTGGCGACGCTTGAGCTAACGTGCGTGGAAGTAGAGACCCGATGGGTGGGACCCTCATCGCAGGACCTCATGAGCGGGACCTCCTATGGGCGGGACCCGATGGGCGGGCGCCGCCGCAAATCTGGGCAGATGGGGGACAACTCTTGAGCAGACAGGATAAGAAACCTTTGGTGTGAGCGAAGTTTCGGGAATTAAAAAACAGAGCGGACGCAGGGTTCCCGCTCGTCGTGTTCCCGATACTGTTGCTGCTGGTGCTCCCCATCGCTTGCCGTGGCCCTGTTTCTGCCCGAGGCGCTCCGTGGACCCCCAATTCAAACATCCCTTCTGCCATCCCAGCGATGCCCCGCTCCGCGGCCGCGCTCCTGCTCCTGGCGCTCCCGCGCGCCCTGGGTCTCCAGCTCCAGGAGGGCGCGGATCCGGATCCCGAGCAGGCGCGGGAGGACGAGCTGAAGTACTCGACGGTCACCGGGCCGGCTTCGGGCGACCCGAAGATTTTGGGACTGTACGGCAAGCGCTTCCAGATCCACCGCCCAGGAGACCACGCGCTGCTGGTTGTGCCCAACGCCAAGAAGCGCCACGGCAGCCTGCTGGATGTGTCGGCTCTGGTCAAGGAGCTAGAGATCGGGGACCCGTGCCTGCTGTTCATCAAGAAGATCACCCTGACCGGCAGCTGGCTCGGCGGCACGACCGTGCAGGTGCGCGCGCAGGGCACCAGCTCCGACTTCGCGCTGAAGGTGGACCCGAAGAAGCACGACAGCCCCTGGAAGCCCTTCAAGAACATGACCGGGTGGGAGCAGTTCATCCACAAGGACGAGGGCTCCGGCATGGTCACCACTGTCAAGGGCGTGATCGGCAGGCGCGAGGGCCACAGCGAGGACATCAAGGGGCCCTTCGAGCACCGCTTCCTGTTCCGCGTGGGCACAGAGGACCAGAAGGCCAAGAAGCTCGAGATCGACGTTTCGATGCCGAAGCCCGGGCGCCAGTACTTGACCGTCAAGGTGGCGCACGTGAAGGGTCTCGGTGAGGAAAGGAGCAAGAGCCTGCAGGGCCTCCTGGGGCTCGACAGCAAGGCTGTGACCAAGTCCTACGAGACCCACCAGAAGAGCCTGGAAGTCCGCGAGGAGTGCAAGGACTCGGCCACCGGGACCAAGGCGTCCGAGCTGCTGGCACTGTCTGGCGGCCTTTCTCGCGCCATCGCCCACTGGGAGTGAGTGCGACCAGCACAAATTGCAGGACGCCCTTTCATCTGGAGGTCCGTTTCTGATTATCGGAATAAATTCTATCGCGTGGTTTCCACTCAGTTGTTTGATGCAACGAAGACGATGTGGAACGTCTGTGATGCACTATTGGGGGGTGAAATATGTTGTGATATGACTTACG